AGGGCGGCACGCCGTGTGGGAGCGCCGTTGCCCCGGGGGGCCCAAACGATCCGCCGCCGGGGCCGTGGGGCGGCGACCAGTCTAGGCCGTACCGAAAGAAGGGCGGGGGCGGGGAGGGAGGGGGGGGCGGGCGGGCAGACGGGGCGCGGGCGCGGCGGGCCGCGGGGGCGCGGGCTGGCGGGGGGCGCGGGGCACCGCGGGCCAACACAGCAGAGTCGTCGTCGTTCGAGAGTATGTTCGTGCGCTCATCTTTGCGAAGCAAAAACGTCCTATTTCTGCAACGGCATTGTGGTGACCTGTGACGAAAAGGATTCAATACGACAATAAGACGACGGTCAGGAAGTGGTGGGTTCGCTCACGGACGAAGCTCGCATAAACATTTTCAGAGGCCGGAGTTGGCACAAAAAGAGGTCCGGTGACGTGCGTTGGTGGCTCTATAGCCGGTGTATGATCCGGACCACATGTTCTGGCCGCGGGCGGAAACCATCACAGCGGAGAGAGTACTGTTCCGGAAATTGGAAAAATACAGACCAAAAATTGGCATCTTCTCGGATTCAGCCGGCATTAATCAACAGAAAGGGCGCGCGATCCTACTCCATGACAACGCCCGACCGCATGTTTCATTGATGACAACAAAAAACTGATGGAGTTGGGATATGAAACTCTCGACCATCCTCCATACTCACCAGACCTTTCCCCTACGGATTATCACTTTTTCAAGCATTTCGAAATTTTCTTACGCGAGAAATGCTTCCGAAACCAAGACGACGTAGAAAAGGCATTCAACGATTCCAGAACTCCAGAATTTTATGCTGCCGGAATATCTAAACTGCCTTCTCGTTGGCAGAAATGTGTTGATTCTTTTGGTCGTTATTTCGATTGAAAAGCAACACTTTGAAGCGAGTTATGATATTTTAAAATATTTGCTTCAAAACGGTCATTATTTTTTGCCTACGACCTAATAGTATACGAATCTGGACCTCATGGCAGCGTTCAGACTTGGCGATGACGCGCGAGGTAGGCGTTGCCCTCAGACAGTCTGGTACGCTCTCATTCTTCTATGCTCTCACAAAACATTAACAGCCAGTGCCGATCTTTACAAGACTGACTTATCAGGCAGTCCTTCTATTACCCTATACTCCCTCGAAACACAAGCGACCGGCGCCGATCGATTCTGATTAGGCCGCTTTCACGGAGTCCCTTCCACTTCTAGACAAAAGCCCTCATCTCCATTATTTTCTATAAAAAGACCTTTAAATATTTCTACGAGGTTCTTAGGGCCTATTTATGTTGCGCTTACGTTTGAATTTCAAGATTTATCTCCAGGTACTGCTACGATTCTGGTCAAAAAGAGATCTGTATCAATCCTTATCACTATCGCCGCATCGAAAGCGATGGTGTCTTGCCGCCGGTACTTGTACCGAGGTAAACTTGCTTTTTGTTAGATGTACTATTATTTTGAGTTTTAAAACGTTTATTATTAATTTTTTGTTATTAGGTGAGCCCTTGATACTCTTTTGTTGCAGACACTCAGAGCTCCCACCAGCTTCGATCCCTCCAGGAATCCGACGAATGCAAGCCATGGAAGCTTCCGGATCGTCAATGCCACAGAACGTAGAAATTGCCGGTTTGTTCAAGTAGGTCCAGTTATTGCTGTTGGTTGCAGCTTTGAATCGTGGATAGCCAAAAAGTTGAGCCAGAGTTCCGCTGAATAATCATTCACCATCCGAATCGGTGAAATATTTTTCTAGGCAAATGAGGCTAAAAGATAAACTTTCAGATAGCCCCATGATTTGACCGTGTCGTCTTTCTCAAAAGTCGGCGATTTTATCCACTGCAGAGGTCCAGCTTGCATCAGCATTCAAATCGCTGGGAGAATTCCATTGATGGGCTTGTATTAGGTCGCTGCAAACGGGTTGCGGGTGACCAGTACACCTGTTGTTGACAAGGCTAGTTTAGGAAGGCAAGCTGCGCGTTCGAGTTTCAGG